TAATACAATCACAAAAGTTCACAAATCATTTCGCTAAATTAGGTTTTTTCGCAAATGAAAATTTCTCTGTTTTACGGGGTAGGAAACACTAGCGCCGCGTTGTGGCAGACCGGTAGAACTAAACGCTGTATAACAATATAAGGAGAAAAATTATTTTTAATTTTTTACGCTACTAATTTGCACTCCACGAGCACATATTTCAAAGATAATGCTATCAGTAACGTTCGCAAATAAATCTGAATCTAATATTCACTATAGTTTGCGCGAAATTATGCACTCACTACTGGCACCACTGCTAACGTAAACGAAATTGAAACGTTCTTTATTTACGTAAACTATATTTAAACAAAACATAAAATGCAAGCTTAGAATCTCTAAAATCGAAGGCGCAACCATAACAGTTCACAAATGATTCCTCTTAATTAATTTCTTCTCGTAATTTGTGGAAAAACTGTCACGTCAATGTTTAAAAGCAACGGTGGCGCCATCTATTGATAAATGGATGGTACTAAAAACAGAATCTACTTCTACTAACGTAAAACAGAGAAATTTTCATTTGCGAAAAAACCTAATTTAGCGAAATGATTTGTGAACTTTTGTGATTGTATTACCCTAATTAGAGCCTTAGCTTTCTGTTCATACCCCATTTGACCCGTAAAATGCAGAAATAAGTATTTTTATAAATAATTAGTACCACTGAGTCACCGCTAGATGGCACCACCATGCCCATTTTGTGACAGTTTGCACTAATTACGAGAAAAACCTAATTGAGAGGAATGATTTCCAAATGTTTTTATATGCCTCCTTAAAATTAGGTTCCCCGCTTTCTTTCTATGTGTTTTGTCCTAGAAAATCGTATGTGTAAAAAGTTGAATTTTTTTCCAATAGATCGGAGGATGTCCTTGTCGCACACTATTGCTTTCCTTGTCTAGCGTTATTAGACGAGGAGAGCGCTAGCGTGCGACAAGGACAGACTTATACATGCGATAGACAAAAAGAGCGATAGCGTGGGACAAAGATAGACATATTCGCGCGGTCTAAACGAATTCAAATGTTTCATTGCGTTTGTGGTATTAATTAATATTTTTATAAATGAAATTTTAATTGATTATAGATATTGAAACGCCACGTAGTGGTGAAACGGTGCAAGTAAATGTTACTTTCTTTGTTGTATATTAGAGTGCTCCTTGTTTCTCTAAAAATGTATGCTATTGTATTCAGATCAGAAAATGATAAAATTAATAACTATGTGAAAATCTTAATTAGTTAAACTAGTGACCTCCGAAACATGGATCACAGGAAAGAATCAACTATAAAATTTATTCTACATGTACTTCGTGTGTGAGTCTACATTTGATAGAAGAGGTACATATGGCGCAAGCGTGCGTTGTAGTTGTTCCTTGTCCCTCAAAACTAACTGTCATATTACAATACTCGACAAACATTTATATTGATATTACTTAATTCTAAGTCTTATATTTAAATTATAAAATGATATTTTGAACTGTATTAAATATAACAACGAAACTAATAAATGAAGTAATATGAAGGAAAAACATAGCGCACCTGTTTGAATGCAGTACCGATTGAAAGTTGAAACGAAGGTTAGGATGAGAAGTATTGTTAATATTTTGAAGATCTTTGTCGCCTTTTGTTATGACTATGCACGAGGATTGTCGTACACTATCATTACGATTTTGATTTTGGGTTATTGCTTACATCCGGCAAGATTTCCGTCACATTACACTTATATAAAAACGGAAGATATTTACGATGAAATGGAAAGATCTTATCCAGCGAGAGATAATTCGTGTATGATTACAATCAATCCCCGAAGATCTTCTCAGTTACTTTATCCTGAGGAACATCCTCGAGAACATCCTGTGGCAATGGCACGGCGTCTGGGTATATTACCTGGGGGGCAATGGAAACCATTAAATTGTCATCCTCTTTTCAACGTGGCCATTATTTTACCGTATAGAAATCGTCAAACTCAGCTCACTATTTTTATGAATTATATTCATCCTTTTCTGCAAGCTCAAAACCTTGATTACAGAATATTTGTCATAGAACAAAGTCCAGTGCGTGAGTTTAATCGTGCTAAACTTTTCAATGTTGGATATGCAGAAGCAACTAAAATGAATGATTTTCACTGCTTCATTTTTCAAGATATAGATTTAATACCCCAGAATCCTGACAACATTTATGCCTGTACTAAAATGCCTAGACATATGAGTTCAAGTGTAAATACATTCCGTTACAACTTGCCATATAGTGGTTTGTTTGGTGGAGCAATTGCATTAACTCGTAAACAATTTGAAAGAGTTAATGGGTTCTCTAATGTTTTCTATGGATGGGGTGGAGAAGATGATGATTTTTATAGTCGTTTACAATCAAAAGGTCTTCAAGTATGTTGATTGTTATTACTGGTAACATCATAGAATATTATTAAATTAGTTTTTACATTAAAGTTAAATTTCAGGTTACACGTTTTGGACCTGACATTGCTCAGTATTACATGTTAATACACAACAAAGAACCTCCAAGCAGTGCTCGATTTGAAAATCTTGAGAATAGTGCTAAAAGGTATGATACTGATGGAATTAGTAATTTAGAATACAGAGTTTTAAATCATCAATTAAGGCCACTATATTCTTGGATTTTAGCAGATGTTTAGTTCCAATTTTTTTTTACTTTCTGTTCACTGCACTTTAATTTATTAATCATATAATATATTTTTACCTTGAAGAACTGAAATTAATTTTGGTAATAATTTAGTTAGTAATTGGTAATTCATAAAGTTATTTTAATTATGCATAATTTTATTTAAAGTAATTTTAACTATTTAATTTTTTTAAGTTACATATATCATTTTAATGTTATCATAATATTTTGTTCATATAATTCTGTACAAATCGAAGAATATAGTTCTTTTGATATTCTGTTGTGTCAAACCAAATATAATAATATAATTAGACAAAACCAGTGCAATTTTGAGAAACAAAAAACGATAATATCGTGTAATATGATATTAAAATTCTGGTAGATTTAAAACTTTTATTAATAATTTATTTTCTAAATATTATATAATATATTTAAAAAACCAATATAAATATATTTTTTAATTATGTTCCTGTTTGAAGTAATGTCACTTTAGAGTTTGCTATTTTAAGCAAACACAGATTTAATAGTACAAAAATCGTTTATATAAACATTATGATTTGTTCCTTTAGTAATACTTACGTGTCAAAATATTAGTGTAATTGTGTAAATCTTTTTTTAATATATTATGATTTAATTGAATAATACTCTCTACATTTTTTAGTATTTTATTTATATTAACTAAAAAGAAACAAATATACCATTATTATGGTTAAAATAAGGTTAGTTACTTCTGATATTGAAGTCAATGAAGATAGATACGTCAAGTTCCAACAAATTTCTAATCCTACGTGAAAATGTAATTCTCGTAATGGATATTTTAAATAGTTTTGAGCTCATACTAGTCTCATTTGATTTTTTAATATTGACAATGTGATAAATGTATATTGAAATGTAAAAAAAATTTAGAATTTATATACATATAGTGCGATTGAAAATTTTGAATCATTAAAAAATATTTCACTTGTTAAGTGTAAATACAATATATTAATGCGTATATGTTTTAAGAATTTAAGAAAAGAAAAAATAAAACTGTAAATTTCTTTTAAAAAGTAATGTAGTTTTACTCTAGAAGAATCTTGCGTCAAATTGATGAATTAGATTTGTAGTTATATATAAGATAAAAAAAATATACTGTTTCGTATGTTAAAACTTCAATTTTAAAAAACAGAAAACAAATTAAACGAAAATAAAATATATCAATTATTCAGAAATGAGCAGGAGTATATTGCAAGCAATAATGCCGCGTATACTTTTATTTGAATTTTTTAACCTATTATTTGTTACATGGGTTTAGCATATGTAATAAAAAAGATTAAAGTGTACGAGTGACTGTAGAAATGTGTATGTATAGTGAAAATTGTATGATCCCCCAAAATACAGAATAAATCATAATAAACAAAAAAATTGATATATAGATGTACGAGTATAAATATATAATTATCTTTCTCTCTCTATATATGTGTACATATAGAAAATGCTTTCTATATGTATGTATATATATATATATATATATATATGCATATGTATATATACATATACATATATATACACGTACAATAAAATTGAATTTCATTATAAAACAATAACATTATAAAAGAATTATGAAATTTAATGTAAATCAATATAATGCAATAAATATACGATATACATCAATGATGGTTTAGTTGCACTGGAGCATAAGAATGTTAATTTTTATTCAAAGAACATTATGAAATTCAAAAGAAATAATATAAATTAATTCTAGATATTTCATAATGCTTCAATGCATTTCCCTTTTAAATGAGTAGTGTATTGTGCACATATTGTTAGACGGAAATTACTTAGTTTGTGAATGTTGTTTTGTTACTGGTATTTGTGATACATTCTTGGATATGTACTTTCTTAAATATCTAATTTTTGTTAAATTAATGAGCACATATTATTACATGTTGTGTTATAAATTTCAAACAGATCACGCAGATAAAGTTGAGAGCATTTTTATTTCTCAATACGTTAAATAACATTATGATTCAAAGATATATAATAACAAAAATAGCTAATTCATATTATCTCCTAAAAATCCAAAAATGTAAAAATCAAAAAAGGAGGGAAAAAATAGTAAAAAAAAAAAAAACCGTATATTTCCAAGAATGAATTATCACGCTTAAATAACCAGTATGTTACAAGCATATTATTCAGATGATACGCATATTATATACCTACTTATCTATGAAAAATTGAGTACAAGTACTTATTTATATATAAAATCTATTTTCATTGATGTTCAATGTATTATGTATCAGATAATTCTTGATAACGCGCGTACATCATTTTCTTTACGCAATCTTTATATGTGTCCCCCGGTAAAGCACTATACGATGACGATTTTGCTCCTAATCCAGCTGTAGGAACTCTTCTCTCAGCTTCAATGATACTCGTCCTACCTTGGTTTGACTTACCAAGACCCATTCCTTCACTCCATCCCATTTTTTGTAAAAGTTTATTACCAACATTATCTGAACCAATACCAGCTCTTGTTGGTTCTTCATAAGATACTGATATTTCTTCAACTCTAGTTTTTAAGTATTTTTCTTTAAGTTTATTAGGTTGTGGAGGTTCTGGCTCACCATATTTTGCTCTCCTTTCTTTAGCGCGATCACGATATTTATTGTTTCTTTGTTGTGGATCATTTGGATCTAAACCACGTACTTGATACCAATTTTCCAAATTTTGTTTATGAAGATCAGATAACTGTTGATGTCGAAGTAATGCTTCTTTACTTGGAAATTGTCGTTTACACAACAAGCATGCTAATTTACTCCAGTCTGTATGTTGCCTTTCTTCTTGCTGTACATCCTCTATTTCTTCTTCCGTATCACTACCGCCACCATAGGCAGCAACCAAGCCATTATTGCTACTTTGATCTTCATCTTCATGATAAGAATTTGCAAGAGATTTCTTCTCCAAAATAGCATATCCTGCATCTGCAGCTCCGCTTCCAACACCTTGATTGCCATCACCGCCAGCAAATTCAGAATTCCAATTACTCTTTGCATTCTCTTTCTTTTGGTTCAAGGTTTTTGCCCAACGTTCCATATCTTTTGCTATTTTTTTTGCTACTTTTACTTTATCTTGTTTGCTGTCTTTCTTCTTAGCTTCATCCTCTTTCGACGTTTCTTGAGTCACGGTAGTAACTGATGAAGATGTTGCTTGATTAGTAATTGTGTTTGTTGAATCTGTACTACTTGCTGTAGCTGTTATTGTGGTTCCACTCGAAGTTGTTCCTGTTGCCTGTGTTACGGTTGTAGCAGTCTGCATATACAAAATTTTTAATAACTAAAAATGCAAAATTTTGATATTAATAATAAATTCTAAATTTGAATTACCTTTGCTGGTTGATATGAAAAAGATTCAGCATCCCAATATAAGAATTGTTGCGTATGACTATTATAATAGTATTGCGAATTAGGATCATAATACAATCCCGTACTTGGATCGTAATAATAACCTGATGACTCATCATAATGATAAGTGCTAACATCTGGTACAGCTATAAGAGATCATTTTAGAATAAAGTAATCTAGAATTATGTTATTAGTTAAAACTTACAATATATTTTACCATCGCTGCCATGTGCGGGTACTCTTCCACTTGCTAAAGCAGTACTAGTTGGTGCCGTTGGTGTTGGTCTATTTTTCATTTCTTCAGAATCCCCTAATTTTCTAGATGCCTGTAATTGTTGTATTGCAGACTGTGCTACAGCTGCAGCTGCGTTCACTCGATCAGTTTGGTTTAAAGATGGCAAAGTAATTGCAGATCCCTGCATTATTTGATTCTGATAATATTGTGTATAATACTGAAGGTAGTGAGCTTTTTGTGCAGGTGTTTTAGCGTACAAATTGGCACTATACTCCGCCAATTGAGCAACATCATCCAAAGTATATCGTTGCGGCTGGTTATCATTTCCTTTCCACGTATTGGTATTATTTATTTGATGAAGTTTGCAATAAGTAATTTCCACTTTTCTACCATCTACTACCAATCCCTGTTTTGTGAGGGCTGTATGTAAATACATGGCATCCACCACGTTGCCCATTTCTAAATAGCATACACCTCTCGATGTATTAGTGAGAGAATCGCGTCCAATGCGAATGCTACGTATTGGCATTGACGAAAGATTTTTCATTGCTTGCAAGACCGAATCTTCAGTCGTCAATACGTCCAATCCACGAAGTAGAACAGTGTTTGTAGGATGAGGACTAATCTCATCGCTACCCTCTCCACCTTCTTCGCTCTCTGCTCGAGAAGCAGAACACTTGAAACATGTTTCCCGTCTCTTGAAATTATGTGCACCACACTATAAATTGAAAAGATAATAATGTATAACACAATGTTTTACATGAGTAAATGAATAATAAAATCATATAACTAGATTTACCTTAACACAATGCCAATCTTGTGTATTTTTTGCTGGTGGTTTATCTACATGGCAATCTTTCGGTATACTGTACTGCATCAAGGCACGATATTGGTCCTGCAGCATCAGTACTCCCTGAAACAGAGAATTTCAGTGTTATCCCGTTCAACATCCTCTCAAAGCAGCTGTTTATCCCGTAAACTTTCTTCTTGGGTGACGAAATTATAGATATTTTTTTTTTCTACTTCATAGCTTTCCGTCTCGAACGAATAATAAAGAAAATGTAGTTTCAACGTGGGCCATTCCACACGACTTGCGGACCGACTATATGTATATTTGTACATGCGCGAAAATTTATTTTTTCTATTAGAAAAATCGAATTTGTGGAAACAAGCAAACATACAATGATTTGCTTGCATACAAATTTACACGTGAATAAGAAAAATATCGTGCATAAAAATTGTCATTCTTTTAAAATGCTTGGTCAATAAATAATTGCATCGAGAGAATAAAGTTTAAAATGGTAAAAGCAGACTTAAATAATATAATAAAGTAAAAGAAAAGCATTTTATAATATCATGAACGTAGCCAAAATGTGATTTGTATACAAATGAACTGACATGCCGGATATAATATATGCATTGCATGTATAAGACGATTGGAATGACCCTCCTCCGATCTTCATTGTTAGTCCACAAACTTTTATGACAGATAGAGGATAGGTAAAAAGCACGCGTCGCGGCCTTTCGATATAATGTAACTTTTTATAATCCAATAGACGGAATTGCGAGCGAGTTATAAGAAAAGTCTGCAAAGTATGTGGGGACTCCTAGATAAATAATTAGGTACGGTAGATTGAAGTAGCCTTTGATAGGTGCACAGCCATGGCCATGGGGAAGGCCAAGGGGCTGCGTTACCGTGCCTTGCCGCCACGGGGCGTCGGTGGCACGCGTACAACGCATCGGTTGGGTATCTGGACTGAACTTCTTTCTACCTGTTTCATCTCCATCCACCGTGCGGCCTCCTGAGTCGCGTTAAACTCGACGAATGCAAAACCTCGCGAAGCACCTATACAGAGCAAATACACACATATCCAAAGTTAATCCACGTTTTGCCTGGGAGTCTCTACTCTGAGAGGGCAGGCAATCACAGCACCAACCATTGACAGACTGACTTTCGAACGAAGTATTTTCTTCGCTTCGTCGCTTGCTTTCATTTCCATTTGCCTACAGCTCAGCAGAATGAATTCTACACGGGTGACAGACGATTTTTCTTTGGTATCTTTACGCGCAAAGTTTACTTTAATGCCAGACCTACCCAAATCTTCTAGCCTCCACTTATATCTTTATTTTCACTACCATGAAGATCAAAGAAAAGATAATTGTATAGAAAATACTTCCCCTTCCAAAAATCTCTATTTTATACAATTCTTATTAGTATAAACAATGTTGGAAAAATAAAACTAATATTTTGTAAGAATCGCATATTCTATTATATGCACTGCATACAATAGAATATAACAATTTGGGACTAGAATAGCTATATAAAATTGGTTGGTATATTCATATTCCAACTATTGATTTTACAGATTACTTTAAAGATTTTCACATCACCCTTGTAAGATGAATAATGATGATCTGATTTCCCTCAAAATATTCTTCCTATGTAATAAGTTCTGTTCTTGTTATAAACTTACCTGATTCCAAGATTAGTAATTATTTAATGATTGATATTCAATTGAACAATTTTGGGGTATGCATGATTGGTACCGACATAATACTAATATAGATGTTTGTACAATGTAATAAAAAATTGTTTGAAATTTTTTTAATTAATTGTTGATCGTATGATCTTCTTACTAGTTGACCCTAAAGATAATGCCACCATAAACACACACACTCACGTTTTTATTTTACATCTATGTACACACACATAGTCTTACTTTACTCTATACAGGGCCAAAATCAGTATATAATGACAAATCATATATACGTTGTGATGGCATTTTCTTGAAATTAACTAGCTAGAAAATCACTTTGTGATCAAATGATATTTTGTACTATATGAATTAAAAGCTTCAAACAATTTTTTAAAAATGATCATTAAAAATGCAACAATTACTTATGCTACACAAATCTAATGCAACTTGCTGAGATAAAAAGCAATTCACTAATTCGCACATTAGGTTCAGGGAAAGTGAATTTACAAAAATAATGATAGTTACCTGTATCCTTTTTACGAATCAGCCTGATGTCCTTGGGCATGAGACCACAGTTGAGGATGTCTTGCCGCACCTGTGATACACACATCATAATGATAACAGTGATGTATGCTTGCAAATGCTGGCTCACGAGTGGCCAATTATGTTGGGCCGCTAAGTTGACAACCTACGTCATTTTCTGTAATATGTTGAGCAAGCCCACGAATCATTATGGTGTTGTTTGGAGATTGAGATTTGTAGTGGATGCCTTCCATGGACGAACCATAAGTACGTCCATGGTCATGCTCAAAATCCATACTTTCTCGGCTATGATCATCATCGCGATCCCGATCTCTTTCCTCCCGTTTTCCTCTACGATCACGATCTCTATCCCTATCTCTGTCTCTTCTAGAACGGTCTCTATCTCTATCGCGATCACGATCACGATCTCTGTCTCTTTCTACAGAGTCTCTATCCCTTTGTCTTCCGTAACGATCCTCTCTGTCTCTGTAGCTACGATCTCTGTCATCTCTGCTACGATCTCTTCTGTCTCTTGAGCGATCTCTTTCACGATCTCTGTCTCGGCCTCGATGATTTCTGTATTCTGGACTGCGATGATCCCTGTCACGATGGTCATTGTCACGATGTTCTCCATAATCTGGTGACCTACTACTTCCATAATCATTACGATAATCATAATCTGAGTTATGTCCCCTTCTTTCAGGTCCATACCCTGGCTCCCAAGGGTCGATATTATTACTGTACATGTTGTCCATGCATTTAAGTAATTTCTGAAACAGTCAGATATTCTGCTATTATATTTTTAGTTATTTACTAATTATAACTATTACTAATATTTCAAGTAACGAATTAATTCAAGAATTACTTTATAATGATATCCCACTAAATTAAAAAATAACAGCTAATAGACATTTAAAATTAAATTAAAGCACGTTATTAAATTAACACCTATTGCTTTATATGATTTTATATATAATAAAATACATTACATACAGAGCAAACAGAAACAAAGTAATTTCATTGAAGAAGTATAACTATAGCTGATGTGAATACATCTGACAGACGTATTGAATATAGATTTTACACATAAGACTATTTAGGAGAATTTCAATAAATTTTAATAATGTATTCTGACTTGAAAAATTTATTTTTAGCGAAAGAATAATGTTTTGTCAATCATTTTAAAGTGACAGATTTCGTTCAATATTTTCTACCCATCTATATTATTAAGAAATATAATGACGAAGAGACACGTATTGATTAATAATAAAATAATTTTATTGGAAGGGATAAAATTAAGAAAAAAGATAATAAATAGCGTAAAGCAAAAATATCGGACTGAGAATTTCAATTCACAAAGCGAATGAAACATCGTGGTGTTGATTAATAAGCATTGTTAAATGTTATAGTAGATCTTCTGAAATAAAACGAAATTTCTAATCAAATGAACTTTATGCTACTGCAAATTTATAAAAATTTTGTTTTCTTACTTACTTTACTCGTTATTTATGCAAACAGTGGAGGATTAGCGTGATGTTCACAATGGCGTGGTTGCAATTCCTGCTTCTCTCGTACAATATGGCGTTGCCTGTGGAAGACGGACGTCCATTACGTGGTCCAAGAAATATGTTTTAGTCTAGCAACATTTTTCAGATGGCGCACTCGTTCGATGTCGTTAAATTTTTATTTCATCAAAGAAAAATTTTCTCAAATTTTTGTTAAATTTCTGCCTGTGTTCAATTTAGATATATGCACAATTCAAATCAAATAGCTCTGATATTATAAATTTTGTATCAAAACTTCATTCATTGAAGTTACAGTCGTCCATTACGTTTTGTGCATGCGAATTAATCGATTAAATTGTAGCAATTTCCATGAAAATGTTGCATCCAAATATGACCTGCTTTGCATATAAATAAATACTATTACTATATCATTTAGATTTATAAAAACTTGTCTATATATTTAAAACGATAATTTCGTTCATATTATAAGTAAAATAAATTCAAATTTTCCAGACAGGGAATTTTTTCCAAGAAGAACGCGAGATGGCGTCAGTGCGTCGGTTTCCCGCGTTGAGATGTTGAAATTGAAAGTGAGTGATAAGTGTCGTGTGTCCTCGAATAAATTGAAATTATGAACGAAGCCAAGTTGATTTATTCCTTTTTGTTATAAACATGCTTTCGATAAAGCATGTATACATAAAATAATATTTTTTATTCTTTTTATCGCGGTGAAGTTCTTTCAGTGATTCCATCAGATGTAATATACGTTATTTTATATCGTTTAATAGTTAGGTTTTGTATATACATATAAATATCAAAGATATCGGAAAGTGTAGAAAACTTTCTTATTTTATTCAATTAAATAAATATTAAATGAAATTGAGAGAGTTAATGTTTTCAGACAAAGTAGATATCAATAATGTCATTGTATTCACATACTATCATCCTTCAAAACTTTTGACAACTGTTCTTATTGAATGGATATAAAATACAGATGTATTCAAAATATTTCCTCAATTGAAATGTAAATTTTATTTCCATTATTAGAATCATTATATATATAGCCCTGTGTACATAGCTCTGCAAAATATAACCTCAAACTATGTGTTAAAAAATTCAACGGTTAATGTATCAATGTGTTACAGTCTATCAGTATTAGACAGAATCAAACAAGTGTTAAAATCAACTAAAGTGTTAAAATCATTGATCTATTTATACATCAATGAAGATAATTTCATCTTCAAGAAAATGCACAGCGTAGCTGTATTCGGTAAGTTTATATACGTAGAAAAATTTCATATAAATACTACTTACTATAATATATTCTAACTTCATTTGTCATTAAATAATTGATATTCAATTGAATCATTTTTATTTGTACAATAAGCAAGAATCAGCTTTCTGAAAATTGCGACAGTTATTTTACCGAAATGTGCAACAATTTATTGATAATAATGTCATTCTTAGTTGTTTGAATGTTAAAGAATAACAACAAGCCGATTCATTTTTACAATTTTGATTAATTACAATTCATTCTTGCTATTGATTACATAAAGTATGCACTAGATAGGTTATCCAAATTAATCGTTTATATTTATAATGCACATATGTATATATGTATGCAAGATTTGTTCTGTAATTTTTCGAAATTTTTTATGGAGAATGATTTTTTAATAAAATAGTAAGATTTTTACAATGTGAAAATATCTGTGAAAGGTTGTTTGGGCAAGATTAAGATCGGTTTCCGCTTATGTCGTGCCTATTCGCATGATTTCGTGAAAATTCGGCTTTATTCTGTCGGCTTTATCCTGTAGGTGGTTGCCAGTGCACGGGATGTCTGATTGTATGCATCACTGTCAGATAAAGGGTATCCCTCGATCCTTTTACCTTTCATAAATCTAACAAAGTGCTATAACTATTTAGATATATGTTTTTATTTACTGCAAAAATTTTACTCGTTTTTTATAATAAAAATTAATTTCAAAATTTGATGATTATATTTCTATAATCTTATTTGAGTATAACCAAGTATAACTATAACATTGTATGGATCGAGGTTTCTCTATTGAAATTTAATTTAAAGAATCTTTTGGATTAAAATCTAAACTGACCTATTACCAATTGAAATCCAAATTTCATCTAGATATTTTCTAGTTGAAAAGTAGACTACTTTTCAGTGATGTTCCGATTAATTATGATTATTAAAAACGGTATGATCGATAAAAACTTGAGATCTCTACACAGAATTTCTATTAATCCTAGCATACGATTTCCAAATTCACTTGATTATTATATACATGCTTCGTGATCGCCGTTCGCATGTTTATTCGCGTTTGTAGAAGTATGTAGCCTAGCTTTACTGGAACGTTTGAACATACGCGTTGGTCGGGAGAGAGAATGAGAGGCAAACGGGACACGAATGAAAGATGAGAAAACGAGCGAGAAAAGGGAGCGAGGGAAAGTTTTCGAAGATATGTAACTATATACCGGATGAAGCGGAAAAGGACGAAGAGGACAAAGATGTTAAAAATGAAATTGAGAAGAAGCGAAAAATCGTGAAAAATAATTCCCTTAAAAAAGGGAAATAAAAGATGGTGAATCGTGGGGGAAAGATAAACGAAAAAGGAAGGGAGGCAGGGGATAGGGGTGGCGAGGGGAGGGGGAGTATGGTGGACAGGGATTGAAGTAACAAGAGAAACGGAAGAGCAAAAGGGGAAAATAATGGAAAGAGAAGGAGAGAATCATGGAACAGATAGAGAAATGCAAATGCGAGCTGGGGGTGCGAAAGCAAGTTGGAACGGGAGAAAGGGAGAGATGGAACCACGGGATAGAGAAGGAAAAGTAGAGGTGGCTATGCGCAACCGGTACGACGCAGACAGCTCGTCTATATACTTGGTTCAACGACCACCGCCCTAGTATCATCCAACCCCGAAGTACCGGGCGGCTCGGTGGTCGCGCTGGATACTAGATTAGGGATGCAGAGGGGGTTGGAACGAAGCTAGGGTGTTCGAGGGGGTTGCAAACGGGGAAGTTTGGGGGCTGGGTTGACTGGGGAGGTAGTAGAGGGAGAAAAGTCGAGGTGGTGTTGAGCGGAACGGCCCACGGGCCAGTTCCGTCTCGAGCCCAGGAGTAGAAGAGCTACTGGCCGCTTGTCTGCTCCCTTCTTTCGCTATAGTTTCATTTCTTTCCGTTTTAGTTCATTCTTCAGTTCCGATTGATTGACACGTTGGTACTCACACACACATACACACATATATAAATACACACACGTGCGGATACGTACAGACATACATACATATACGTATATAATAATATCCAAAAAAAAGTCGTACGCGACACGTTCGTACACCAGTGGTATACGTGCGAAGTATGTGTACGTAATCACGCCAACTCTCATCACGCATACACGTACACGAGTATACAGGAGCGTGCGCGAGCGCGTTACACAGATAACGTATTTTGAATAATTTGGTCACGTATAGAAAAGGGAAGAAAAGATAGATAAAACGAAAGAAAGAAACGTACACGCAAGGGAAAAACATAAATCATCCGTTTATTGGTTTATTGTGATCGAGAAGTCGCACGCTCGATAATCACCAGTTCTCCTGTTTATCGTATGCACGGATACAGTCGCGATCAGCTAGCGTATCTTTAGGTCCGTATCTGACCAAGTGTACCAGGCCCCGTAGTACCTGCGTCTTCTGTCCATCCAATACGCGTGCAACAAGCCCGCGGATTGCTTGAGTTTTAGGAAACGTAATTCTTGCATTCAGGTACGTGCAACAAATCTCTATTATGTGACCTATGAAAGCAACAGCTTTCACATTATTTTTCTTCTTCTCGTGATACTTTCCACGAAGCTCCTCGATGCGAGTGGGGTGGCTGTGAAAAAACCCTTGGACGAGATTACCGTTTTGTCCGATTTCGTTTATCCGTTCACATCACAGTGATGTAAAGAATCTTTATCATTCTTCATGAGATGAATTCTCACTCTTAAACGCGGGAGATTGCGCGAACACGATGGACAGAGAATGTTTCTCGTTCGGGGGTTATGTTTTTCTTCAATTAGTGTAACAGATGATAAGAAGGATTGTGCATGCATTTTATTTTCTTTTTCCTTAGCATTTACATGTCTTATTTTATTGTTGTAATTCTAAGTTATCGTATTAAATCGAAAAAACGCGAACACGCGTTTATAGAAATCGTTTTCAACGAACAAAACGGCGAGCATTCTAAGAAATATGTAAAGAAAGTGGCGCGCGTGTGAGAACAAAAGAACGTAACATCCCTATAAATCAACCCTTTATGATACGGCGCATTCGAATCGCTGACTTGCGTCGTTAGTATCAAAAGGCATGCATACGATTCATCAATTTTATGTATACATCGAGACAATTATTAATTTATACAATAGTGTAAAGAAGCTTTTCTACGAAACAAATATGATCTACATCGGATTCGGATTACACATAGTTACGTTACATCGTTGTTCTCTCCTTTCGTCGATTCTATGAATTTTTCAAAGTTCACGTATACACGTTAACTTCAACTAGGAATTTTTAATTTGCTGCACTGTTCAAACAATTTTTTATACAACCATACGAAGAATCTAAATCTTGCAAATTACGCTGACTGACAATAAGTCGAATCAAACGAGCTTCGAACATTTTTTAAAGATTTTATTTTACCTGCCGGTTACTGATAAGACGACGCCGCGTAGCTAAAGAGATCGCTATCTGTTCGACTTCGTGGCTTTTCGAGCGACCTTTGCCCTGTTCTTGCTGGTAGCCAGTTCCAAACCGCCCCTTGTCAGCTGATTGAAATCGATAATGGTGAGCCTCGGCTCGGCGGGATGTCTGGACAGGGCCTGCACCCTGTCGAGCGGTGCCCCGGGGCTCCGGAACCTGTAGCTCCGGTTCCTGCACCCGCCGACGCCCGTTCCACTTCCAGTTCCGGTCCCAAGCTGGCTCATCCGCGTGCCGCTCATCGATCGGTAGCCACCGCTCGCGGCCATCTCTGTCTCCTCTTGAAAGTACCTGCCGATCACAACCATGTGTATTTCATCATTCAATTTGTTCTTTCTCATTCAAAATCGTGATTCTTAAATCATAACTATCAACTTGTAGAACAGATTTTACATAGTTCATTTCTATCAAGAAGAGTTTGATAGTTTTCTAAGATATTAGTTTTTCTGAAGATATTAGCAGATTAAGAAAGAAACGTATGAATATTTACAACAAATAGCGAAAATAATGTGACTAGAATTACTCGTGAATACTGGCCAGATGTATAGGGGCGGGTTTCCGTGAGGTCTTCGGTCTAGGTTCTCGAAGAACTCGGTGTCTCAGTCGCGACTGTCGCGTTCGTTTGGTTGATGGTTGCTCAGGAAGACCGGCGGGGATAATGCCCATTAATTTGTAATATTCTAGGAAGACACGGGCCAGATTGCGGCCTAATCTGTAATCTGCGGTTTAATTGAGTAGTCAAGTTGATTTATCGGCACTACAGGCGATACGTTAAGTACCGGATGATCGATTGGCACGTAAACTTCTTAACCGCGATTGATCGTGGCGTAAATTATTCACTGATATTTTGCTTAATTTTCTTTGAAAAGCATAAAACAAGACAAAATAAGCGAACGGATTATCGGATCAGCGAATTTTTATTTGAAATCGCTTAGTCACCAACTGAATTTTCGTTTGAAATTTTATAGACTATTCTATAGGTGAAAAATTCGTTTGCAAAAATTTCGAAAACAAACACAATTGAAAAATTGAAACAGAATAAACTTGCTCGTACACAAATGGAATATAATTTGCGGAAAACAAATGCAGATATCAAAGGATACATCCTTCCTCGGTGTACGGGAATACTCCAGGCATTGATTTCCTATTATATCCGTACATCGACACTTCGATGCTGTAGCAGTTTACTTGTTCCTTGAGAATGGAGCACAGATAACGACGCGCGGTACCAGCCTTGTGAGGATCCTGATTGTACATTGTGTTCCCTATTTCATAGTCTTCGGCGTGTTGCGCCAACAACTTTGGTAACACGATGTGTCTCTCGTACCTGAGAGGCTGGCAGCCATTGGTTAGACAGTGTCATTTGGAAATGAGAAAATTGAATTTTTCAAGTGAAAGGGAAAGAAAGAAAAAAAAAAAAAGAAGAAAGAAATGGTTAGGAGTACCTGTACACGTCGTCGTACGTGTTCCCATAAACGAAGAGTCCTGTAGCATTGGTGTGAGCATGCAAATCAAGTACACAGTCTAACGGTGTACGAGAACTTTTGTCGAGATTCTTCAGCATCGGTTTTATCGCTACCAGAGCAGGATGAAGCCATTCAGAGATTTTGTTCCACGAACGATTCAAATCCGCTCCCATCAACGTGGATCTTCAACAAGAGAACCGTCACATTCTGTCGCCTGTTTGTTTCTCATTTGACAGAGGATTCTTTATTTACCTGTAATTGCCAAGAAAAACGCCGTCAGGGTTTAGCATCGGCACTATCTTGAAAACGACGTAACTCCTCAACACTTGGGCGATGGGGTGGGAACTGACCAGAAAGTCCATTAGTCCTTGGCAAACGAAGGAAGAAGGTGACTCGCCTGGATGTATCCTGGCAAGAACGACCACCACCCTTCTCGCGCGATCTTGAACGTCTTCCAGATTCGAAGTTATAGTGACCAATTCGATTTTCCTCTTTTGTATCGACGTGGCTAAGGTTTCTCTCTTGGTGCACGTTAATCTGGTACAAAGGTTATCCAGATGTGCCAGGTAGCGGCTGTACGAGTACGGATACGTCAAGGCAAACTGGTAAACGTCTTCTTCACGGTCGAAGGAAAATGCAAAGCTGAGGACGTAATGATTTTGGTGCTGCGCCGATTTGTAGTAAAACACCTAGAGGAAAGTTTATACACCTTCATGAAAATATTCTTCAGTGTTGGTTAATTTAATTGACCATCAAACTCACTTGCTCTCTTAGAATCCTTTGCCACTTTGGCCTGCTGCTGCTCTTTACCAACGGCGTCAGCCCATTCCGAAATAGATTCGCGCTCTTGGATATGTTGACTATGTTGAAGACCACTCGTTGATCCGTCTTCACGTTATCCACGGTGAAGTTGAACCACAAACGAAGCCGTGGATTGCAGGTGTCAGGTCTGATGAACAGATCGTACTCGAATTCGGAGATAAGATCCACCCTGCCCAGGTTGCCAGTTTCGAACGAGGCATCGAAGCAGATGTGCCCTTTCTTTGCTTTCCCACTGTGACCGGGTGGACGGATGATCATCTTGTTCACGTTTCCCAACCCTCCTTCTGTATCGCTGTCTTCGCTCTCTGCGCAATGAGAATTCTCTTTGAATCTTTCAATATGTTTGCGTTTCATTCGGGAAAGTGCAATTACAGCGGAGGAATTAATCGGTTCGAAATATAGAGAAAGAAAAGAAACGATATCGGACCAGCTCTTTGATAGAGACTGGTGTGCTCCAACGGATCTCGACCCTCCATCCTGAAAGAGAGGGAACGCGTTGATCTATCAGGCAGAAGACGCGCGAACAGACTGACTTTCCTCCAGGTCTGACTAGCTTTTACAGTGGGTGTTGCCACCTACATGGATAAAGGCTGGAACACCGATCGTGCCGTAGGATCAGCACGTTATGGTTAATTCTCGTGTCGGTTCTCGTGCGAGAAATCTCTCGTGTGGCCTGGGTTCGTGATTTCGCGCGGTTCAATCGAGCAAGATTGGCGGGAATTCGCGTGGCTGCCACGCGTCAGAGATCCCACAGAGATCGACAGTGTGAGCTTTAACGAAACGGCCAAAGTTGTTTGCGGTCACGAAAAGTAATCGTGCTGATCGAGATCTAAATGAAGAGTGGTTAGGTCCATCGATAATGTATTTTCGTTGCTCGGTGAATTCAGTTCGTCTTTTTTTAAAACCAATCTCGTATCCTTCTGTAATCTCGGGTTCGTGGGAAGGAACGAAGGTGGTGGTGGTGGTGGTGATAGATGAAAGAGCTGTTGCTCATGGTCACGAAACACTGGAATTAGAAGTTGAGCGATGAACTGATTTCAACGTGCGGAGGTCGTGTTCATCTATCAGATATATGCGAAATGTTTTCATGCATTTCTCTTAGCATTTTACTTGTATAAACACTGAAATTTGGACCAAAGTTAAAGTCACCGTATCTGTCAGACAGTCCAATGTGAATCACATGTAAATGATCTTTAAATTTTGATTCTTTGAGCATCGATTATTCTTTAAGGATTAGTTGTTTGATAGTTTCGTGACATGTCTCGCGCATTACGTATTAACAATGCAAGATTCAAGACGACGTCGAGCAGATAGCATTAGGGTTGGTGAGATCCACGTGGCGTGTGCACGAAGAAGGAAGAAGCAGAGATAGTAATGTCCACGTCACGTCTTCGCCAAACGACGTCGTGGTGTCTGAAGTTTAGCTCCTTCGTTCTTACCATGCATTATTCTTTGCCTGAGGGGTACATAGCGTGTCGCGTGCGGATTTCTAAATCAGGATTGTTCGATATCTATTTCCATGCGGTTCGTACGATGCCCGTAAATGACACATCTACAGGCTAAAACTTGCGCATCTATAGCCTGGGAGGAATGAAAACGAAGAAAAAAAAAAGAAGGGAATTAGACTCGGTCGGCTGGTCTATAGTGGTTTTCCATTGGAATTGCGCAATTCTCTTATCAATCATTCATCAATTGACGCAAAAGCTGGCTACCGTTATACTGTGAGTCTCGTGAACTTTGCGTAGCCAGTCAATGGTAGTGACCGACAGTGACTCGTTTTCTCGTTTCGATTCGATTCAAGAGAAGGCGTAAAATGTCGTACGAAATCGTATCATTCAGCGTTTTAAACTTGAAAGTTTAGAGTTTGACATTTTTTTTCTCCCCAAATGGCTGGGACTATGATAATGCAGATTGATAGTTTGACATTAGCGTGGCAACCAGCTTATCCGCGTGATAACCTTTCACGTCTGGGAAGCTTTTTACAATTCGCTCGGACAAATGTCTGCGGTGTGTTATCTCGCCGCGATTACGGTCGTAGAAACAAGAGGAAGGAAAAAAAGAAACGAAGGAAAAAAGGAGAGAAAATTTCTGGGAAATTGGGGGGGAAAAGAGAGTTTGAGGTTGTTCCGGAGCTGACGGTTCAGAAGAGCAATTAAAAGTGGGACAAAGAGGCTGGACAGAGAAGGCACGGAACAATCAAGAGAACGGCGAGGGTGGCCGGAGGATGGAGAGGGATAAGACACACTATAATACGCACCGCTGAACCCATACTGGATCTTCAACAGTTCCAACTACGAGAGAAAAGAAGGAAAAGCAACCTCGGTCCTTATATCCTTTCTCCTCGACACGCTTCTCCTGAATCACGAGATTGTACAAAATAAAAAGTGGTCCCTCCTATTTCACTCGTTATTCCGTGAAAACGGAAGTTTGGAAGGCTAAGAGAGAATGAAATAAAAAAAAGACGACTAGAGTAGTAATAATAGCTTGGAACAGGGAAAGACGTGGCAGCTTTGAATCACAAAGAGGAAAACCACCCTTTGCACAGGGAAAACCGATTGAAAAATTGTTCCTCTGGCGTCTCTATATCACGATACCGAGGAAGAGGAACACCTGCCAAATGTCAAAGTGCAATAAGCATCGAGCTCGCGTTGATCCTCGCGTGACTGCTCCTCGACTCGTGGATTCGATCGACTTGACGGATCACGGATGATCTATCGGGAAACGATGTCGAGATATAGAAGCACACATTTCATGGACGAAACGATGCTCTCTCGTGTGAAGGTGCGATATCACGCAGATAGACGATGTGGCACGTGTTACGTGCTCGTGTTTCAGTCACGGAACAGTTTCCAGCTTGTTACGAACAATTCCCGAAAGACGGATAGGAAGGGCATAGTACGTACCAGTTCCCTCGGCGTCGGACATATCTTGAGAGCAGGGTCTGACTTGTCCCAAACTGGTCCACACGAGGCTCGATTTCTCGCCGACTGGACGACACTAGTGGCGGATTCACGCGCTGGTTTCCTTGGTTTGTTGAATCGATACGTGTCTCCGTATCCGCTGCCGTTTCTTTTCTCGTTTTTCGGCCACGATGCTTCCTACGTCTCGCGTGACTGTCCCTTGGTACATATCGTAGATATGTATATCGCTGCGATGAAAGTTCATAGAGTTTAACAAGACGGTCGTACAGGGTAGGATACGTTCTGAAAATCAGAACGGACGTTGTAACACGTGGTATTGTATTTCGGTTGGATAAAAGCTGCGGATTTTATGCCTCTCTTGAAACGTAATCCATCAACCTATAGCGGGACAATCGACCGTTCGTCCATTGTGGTAAATATTTGCGCGAGAAGAAAGTTTGTTCTTTTTTTCTTCGTACTCGGTGTGTAACATGTTTCCTGAGTGGGAAAACATTTCTGAGACGCGTGTATGAGACGTGCGCGAGCTGCACAGGGTACTCGAACGATGACTAATTCCGTCCTTTATAAAGCGGAAAATTCGCAATCTCGAAATAACGAGCCTGGCACGCGTTTGATATGCCACCGGGAGCTACGTAATCCGCATACATTATCCTGGCTCGATTATCAGGCTATGGGGGATGCGCACAGACGTAGCCTCCAATGCACGTGTGCAGCTTCGTTTCCGGGTCCACGCAACCCGTTCCAGCGAAACAGCATGCAAAACGAGCTTAACTCACGCATATTTATTATCTTTGGCCAGACTCTCGGATGAGCGGATGCAAATGCGACGCGCCACCGCGGGAGGGAGAACGCAATTATGAAAACTTGCAGCTACCTCTGAAAAGATACTTTCCCGAATAATTCTCCACGCTCCAGCATTTCGTAACTATGTTAACTATGTTGTGCCCATTAATCGATATAGTCCGCATAATTCCCAGGAATATTCCACAAAACTTTTCATCCTACGAACTACTACTACTTTCGCTAGATCGATTCATAAACGGTAAAATTTGTGTAAAATTATTGTGAAAGTGGTTTCAAAATGGCTTGACGGAAGTTTGGTGCAATTTCATGATCTAAGAGGAGATCATCGAATTTTCGAAGCATCTCTTTCCTGACTTTAATAAAAAAAAAAAAAAAGAACGATTGCGTTAAGGGACGAAAAGTGGTTGTAACTTCTGAAGGTGTACAAACTCATCCTCTCGTGATATTTGGGACGAGCAAATACTTTGTAAAGGGAGCGTCGTGTGTACTGGGAACATCTAAAACATTCTAACAGTAACCAGATGCATTTTGAAATTCGTTTGAATAGAGTCGTATCCATCGATCATCGAATAGAGAGAATCCGGAGCGTAAAGAGTTGGGAATTCGAAGATCGGAGAACCGCAGTCCGGGCAAGATTCGCATCGATGGTAGGTGCATGTACGTGTGTTTGTTCGGCTGGTGAATGTCCTCCGCTCCTGGGCTTTGGCTGGGACTTCCTGGTGAACCCTTCCTTCACCCTCGTCCCTCCCTGTTCCCCGGAGTTGTTCGCAGCCGTGGTGAGCTCTGTGCAACGTGGAGGGAGAGAAACGAGGAGAAAGAGAGGCTCGGTGGATGTGTACGAGAGAGAGTGGAATGACTAGGAGAACGTGAGAGATCGATATTCGAAACCCCTGTGCCGTTGGGCACCGAGCTCTCCTCTTGCCACCCCACGCCCAGTGGCGTAGCAAGAGGGGGCAATTGGACTAGGTACTGCCTGTTCACAGGATACTCAACAAACGGAAGTTTGGGACAAAGAGGAGGAGCGTTATAAATTGTCCGAGACGGGATTCGAGATTTACGCGGTGCTGCTGCCACCTCCTCCTTCCCTGTCTGGCTGCTTTTTTTCTTTTTCTTTATCGTCGTCATTTTCATCGACCACCCAGACTATATTTTAACGGATAATTTCAATTTTCCTATTATCACGCTAGATTTAGTACCTGAATTATAACACCGATGGACACCGTTATCTTTTGTTTCGCGCGAGCAGAGATAATCGCAACGTTGAAATGCCTTGATATTGCAATAGCTATTTCAATTGACAGAAGCCTTTTGTGCGATGATGTTTGAAATCTGAAGAGCAGAAAATCTGAATGTTGAAATTCAAATGAAATCAAACTCGAAATTTATATTCACGTTTTTTCTTTAAAGATCTATTTATACGGACCGGGGGGGGGGGGCGGAATGGATTATCGCAGCTTACGCCGTTGCACGTGTCTGTCCTCGTATGTATGCTATTTACCATTAGATTATCATCCCCTCATTTTTTTCGTCTCTTCCCTCTACCCCTCTACGCCTCGCCCCGTTTGTGCTTTCTTTCGACCCCTCCTGGGCAGCTCTTTTCTTAACGCGACTTTTTCATCCGCGTATCTTGTATCTCGCGTTGTGTATGTAACAGGCGGCAACGAGCAAACCAATTATTTCCGCCGCGATGATCGATTCGCATTCGTAGTTCCAGAGGGCCGAGTCATTAGCGAACGTTCGTTAACATTGACTACCACGCCATTCGCGTAACGCAACGTGGAAATGATATTCACGTCGGCTCGTGTGCGTACTTCCCTTTCCTATCAGTCGATACGTTGCTTGTTTGGAGTCGATCATAGATAAGATAATCGTCAATCAGGTGCACATTAGGAGTTTATTCATTTACGTACGTGTTAAAGAGGAAGACGTTTGCAAATTATGCAGTCAACGTTCTTGTTTCTATTCCGATAGGGATTGTATTCAAAAATTTACGCATTTCCGTATATCTGTCTTTATAAAGGGATAAAGAGAGCAGTAGTAAGATTCTGTTTTTTAATAATAAAAGTTTCGATGGAAAACATGTAATTCGATTTTTTCTTTGTTAACGTTTCATTATCGTTGCACCGTCATATTGTGTGATTAACCGATGCCCGAGGCACGTGGATCCATTTATGCAGCACGTGTGCTCTCAAGATTCCGCTAGGGGTAGCGTTACAATATTCCGTGATGAATGCACTTCCTCCAAGTAGCTAGGGTTCCCACAAAAAAAAAGGGGGGGCTCTTGATTCAATTCGAAGCCTCTAATATCTTGTGCTTACAACGAAAAAGAGGGAAAAAAAGGAAGAGGTGACGAGGGATAGGGAGAAAAAGGACAGGGAGGGTAATAGAAGTCGAAAAGTTAAAGCGATTATATCTAACGAGCGAGGAAGAAAAAAAAAGGAACCGGACGAATCGTCGGATTTCGAATATCGAGTTTAACTTTCTGGAAAATTTGGTGAATATCCGTGCATGTTAAATGGGAGGAAGGGGTGGATAGATAGAGGAAGGAGGGGAAGGTTAAGATAGGGGGATGGTGGTGAACTATGTGGCAAAGGCACGGCGAAATTTGGCCGCATTCGCACGGTCGAAAAGCTCTCTCGCACAAGAGGGAGGTCAACCCTAGGACGACGGTTTCCATTTTCAACGTGGCGCCTGCGTTTTCGAGCTCTGCACGGGCTACCAACCCTCTCTCCTATGCTCGTTTCCCCTTTTCAAGCCTCCACTCCACTTCTTTCTTTCTCTTGTTCGCGGAGCCTGAATTTCCACCCCTTCTTCTCCGACCCTTTTGCACAGCGCTTGCGCACGTGCACTCCCCCGCACGTCTAGCCATTTTTCCTTCTTCCCCTCGAATTTAACTCCCGTCCCTCGGAGCGTTACAGCGAAACCAACTTCTCCGACGAGAATATTCAAATATATTTCTACGTCGAATTTATTATCCGTCAATAGCAATCACGTCCACGTCTCTCCCGTTTATTATTATTTATAAATGTTGTCCTTTCATAATTTTCTCTTCAGAAACTGTTCTTTTTTTCTTTTTTTTTTCTTTTTTTTTTTGGTAGATGTTGAAACAACGATCCTTGAATCTTTTTGAGCCAACCCTGTCTGTAAGAGTACCGTCCTTCTCCACTTGAGTTCGTAATTAACACCTTTTTTCCGGGCCATCTAGCTGGCGGCGGTTGTTTTCCCCTGATTTCAACCTTTTACCGCGTTCTTCTGCCACCTGTATGCAAACTATGCTCTATTATTTTAGGGTGGAGGATTCTCTTCTCTATCCAAAATCTTCGTCATCCCGGCCATCGTTCGATCGATCGACTATCCACCAACAACTTTTTCTCTATCCTTTGTTCGTTCTTTCTTTCTGTCTCTTCCGTTCATGCTCTTCGGGAGCGTTCTTTCAATCAGTATCGGTGGTTGCAAGGTCCAGAGGATCTCGAGAGAGAGAGAGAGAGAGAGAGAGAGCAGCCATTGTTCACGACCCCTTCTTCAGCGCCTGCGTGTCTCGCAACTACCCTCGATTTCATTTTCCTTCTCTTTCTTTTGTGCTCTTTATTTATCTAAAAACAGCTTTCGGCTAATGTCCAGAGATTTTACAGAGCAATCCCCCCTTTGATTTTTATCCGATGCACGCGGGTCTTTAATTTTTTAGAAACTTCTTAATTTTTTTATTTATTCGTGCTTTCGTTTAAATGTCATATACGAGGAGGATACGTGATTATTTTCAGATTTCTCTCCCCCTTGCGTTTTTGTCTGACGCATATATATCTCTAAAGGCATATATATCTCCGTCGTAGTTACATCCCTGCAATTCATGCCAAACGAGTTAACGTCACGACGATTTCGAATCGAGTATTACCTCGTCGTCACTCGACGCCTGCGTAGATCCCGTCTTTAGCCTCGGTTTGTCACCGTTTCCTTTTCGCCACTCATCGTGGCCCGGTTTCCATATTTCAAGCGAAGCGTTCGGCGAACTCTCGAACCATTTCTTCCTACCATCCGGAAGACGCAGTCATTGCCTTCCGGAACTTCGACTCGACGCTTGCGTACTTTCTTTCTTCCCTCCGTTCTCGGTCGTTCTTTCACTGTTTGCTTCATCTGCAACTTCATCTTCTTTTTCTCTGGAGCTTCAGCTTCCTCCGTTTCTCTTGGCCATGTTCGCCGCCATCGCAACCGAGAGGTGGCGTGCCGCGAGATATCGCGGCAGTGGTGATCCAGGGAGAGGGTGCAGTCATTGCCTCTTTTCGGCGCTTGCGTACATTCCGCCATGCTCGTCGATCTTCCTCTATCCAACGAGTTTTCCTTGATTGTTTCCTTCGACCTTTATCCTCCTCGTAACTCCCACCCCTCTAGTCTAGGCAGAACTAGTAGCATTGGGGGCGGTGGTGGCAGCGGGCAGCAGAGGGTGCAGCGATTGGCGGCAGGGCCTGGCTCCGTCAGTTTAGTTACCGCACCACATAAAGGCATTGCGTTGTAGACACCGTTATACCCGCAACATTCTTACTATTTGCTTGTATATCTTCATTTCTGACCCTTTAATTCGACAATACGTTCGTATCGTTGGTACATATAGAATCGTCCTCACCGTGTATATATATATATATATACATATATATATATATACCGATCAATCATTCTTGCTTTCTCCCGCCCACGTGTCAACGAGAAAACTAATCGAAAAACCGTGTGTGTTCACGCACAACTTCGATTTCGGGTTTAAACAAACAAAAGAAAAAATCAAACACACAAGAGAGAGAAAGAGAGAGAGAAGAGAGAGAGAAAAATCGTACAGTCTAAAGCAACAACAGCAAACAACAACACTAATTAATAGAAAACGAAACAAAACAAAAAAAGAAAAAAGAAAAAAAAGAGAAAAAGAAAAGAAAAATCGAGCTACAAATAAATACGAGATAATCGATCGGTCAACGAAGGAAGAAATTTCGTCAGCAGATCTGGATCGTCGTGCCACGTTTCATCACGTGCGTCTTCGTCGGGGATCTTATGATTTCGTTCGTCCATTTCGACCACCCTTCCTGGATCCTTGTTCTTCTCCCCTCGCCCCCTGGAACGGTCAGCTTCTCGAAGATTGATCTCGATCGATGTGCACGCGAGTCCCTTTCTAACTTTGTTTAGAAAAAGAGAGAGAAAGAAAGAGAAGTGAAAGAAAGAAAGATAATTGAAACTACGAGGATAAAACACATGTCGCCGGTTCTCCACGAAGATAATTCAGTGTGCGATTGTTGACGAGGTTGGTGTTTAAAAGTAGAAGAGAGCAGAAATCGTCGTCCGGAAGATTGAGAGAAGAAGTGGAAAAGGAAAAAAAGGAAAACGCAAGGAGATAGAGAGGATAATATAGTGTTGGCCGGTAGAAGTGAAGGAAAGACATTCAGAGGGTGTGTTCCGCGATTTTCTTCGTCCCCCTTTTTTTTTCTCTTTCGTTTCGCCGATATATTAAGAGATCAAGTGTTACACGTACGTGAGATCGTCGTGCATCCTGCAAGTTGCATAAAATATAGACTGTAATCCGCCGTTGTCGATCGAAGAAAGTGCAAGAGAGATACCTCGAGAAAGATTCGTAATTCGTCGCCGTGATTTGGCAAACTTGATCGTTTAAAAATCGATAAAAATTACCGCGTAAAATAACACGGGCACAGTTCAGAAAACGACAAATTAAACGAACGAACAAAAGAAAGAAACGGCAAAACGAAATACGCACACGTCGCATCGTTTAAAAACTTAAAGTTAAACAAAGAACGAGCATCGTTTATGAAATAACAACGAAATGAAAATTTAGCGATATAGATAATATATATATATATATATATATATATATAAAGGCAAAGATAATTCTCCATTAAAAAAGAGAACTAATAAAAACGAAAAAAAAAAATAACATTAACCCACCGTCGTTTCGTTCTACGCCCAGATATCGGCATCCTCCAACCACTGATTTTCATCGTTAACCGGTATGTTCATTTGTTTCTTTACTTTTGTTGCTTCTGTGATTCTGACGTTCGAATTATTATTATTGTTCTATTCTTATCTTGTTATTATTGTTGTTATTATTACCGTTATAATTGCAAACATTATTACCGATCTCTGTGTATATCGATCTATGTGTTTTAGTAGCGCGCAGTCAGGTACCGATCATTATAATATATGTTTGTAACCCCCTTTGCCGGAGAATCCTTTATACAGGACCAGTCGAAGGATCCTTCCGGCAGCCATAATCATTTATCGAACTTGTTTTTCTCGCGTTCTCTTGGCTGATCACAAAGGTGTTGCTTTCTCCCACCACATTGCTTCGTAGAAACGTATTTCAAATTTTCGTTCTCAATTCGTTTTAAATTCATTTCAATTTGATTCAGATTGATTTAAATTTATCATATTACTCTACTAGAAAAAGAATGTCGGGCTTGGAGTGGAAAAATTTGAAAGGAAAAAAGAAAAAAGAAAAAGAAAACGATCCATCGATCGATCGATATTGGAAGTGAATTCTCAGTTACGGTGAACACGATCTAAAAAGTATTTCTATCCGTGAAATACGGTGAAAGTATCGGCGTGTAACAGTTGGCATTTTTCTACGGCGCAGTATCGCTGCGGTCTAGAGAAGTTTGGGCGTGGCAGCCGAAAGCAACGTGGCCAGGAGAACGCGAGTGCAGCCTCCAAATCCACGGTTCTCCGGCCAATTTTCAGTTTGAATCCTTCTTCCTACTTGCGGAGCAACCGGCGAAAGAGCAAACGATTAAAAAAAAAAGAATCGAAAGAAAAAAAAATATATACATGTATTAAACGAGGAAAAAAGAAAGACGAGAAACGAAAAAAAAAAAAAAATGAGGGAGAAACACGGTCGAGTGAAAATGTCGAATCTGTTCGGTAACAAGATGATGGAAAACGGCGAGAGTGTGCATGAAGGATCAAGCAGATCCAGGATGGAGCAACTGGCACTGCGGGTCCTCGTCGAGGACAAGCAGGAAGTCTCGAGAGGGACGCTTCCGTCCGCGATGGCCTCGATCACAATGGTGCGTGAGAGGGATAAAGGGGTGTTAGATAGTGTGCCAATGAACGTTTTCACAGAACATGATTTTAAAGTATCGCTTCCTTCCGTTTTCCTATGTTTCACCGTAACGATTTCCGTTTCGCCTCTCTGTGGCAGAGAGAGACTGAAATTTCGCCATCTTTTATTTCGCCGTTTCGCTCGTTTCGTGCTAGTGAAGCTATTTCATTTCCATACCACGAGATTTCTTCCAACGTGATGAAGAACAGACGTATCGAGTGAAATAGGAAAGAACATAAGAGATAAAAAAAAAAAAATATTTAGCATCAGCATCGTACGATAATAACCGAATTCTTCTCAGATTCAGAGGTTTTCGTACGAAAACTCTCAGGTGAACAGCGCGATATCAAAGATTGACCGAGGATTGCGAGCCTAGTAGAAGAATGATAGAGCGGAATGGATGTGAAAGAAGGATAGAAAAGCGGCGAGTAGGAGAGAGACCTAGGTCTAGTTGGGGAAGCTCGTATTGATCGTTTCTGGGTCCATGTGACGCGCCTGCGTTTTGCCGTGGGGTAAAATCGTAGCGAGGGTAAACTATATAGGAAGGAGGGTGAAAGAGTGAGAGCAGCAGAGAGAGAGAGAGAGAAAGAGAAGAGGCAAAGGAAGGGAGAGAGAAAGAGAGAAGAAGGGAGGGGGAGAAAGAGAGAGAAAGCCGCGCCGGGGTTCATATACCCCCAGGGCAACTGCAACGTTCCACCGTGCCACCGACCAATCAATGGAGCTTCTCTACCTCTCTGTCTCACCTTGTTTCTCCCGTCTCCTCTCCCTCCGTCCATTCGTCATTCTTTTTCTCTCGATTTTCCTCTGTTCCATCCGCGACTCTTCGTCCATCATACGTAATATGATTGCATCGTACGCGCGCACATACGCGTCGTCCCCTCTCCCGAGATTTATACGGTATTAACGTTGACAACGGCGAGCATCCTGGCCACCCCTGCGGATGCGTGTACCCACGTACTGGCAATCTATCGAAACTTCGTTCGAGTTTAAAGAGAGCCGTGCTAATCCTTCTAACGAGGACGAAAACGGGAAGATGAAGGGCGGAGGTAATCGTCGTGGATCTTCCGAGTTTAACTTGGTTTCGTTTTGACTTTATGAAAACTCTGTCCTGTCTTCGAAGTACCTCCGAAACGGAGCTTCAGAATTTCATTTCAGCCACCGTTCGTCGTTTGATTTCCGTTCCTCTGTTTGTAACATCGACGACGCTCAAATTGGTGACGTATGTATGTAAGTAGACGTCGACAGCTTTCTCCTTCCTTAGATCAACACAACGTTGTTCTATCGTAGGTGAAGAATATTTCGCGATCATCCGGCTACGATCGAACGCTTCTTTTCCTCTTCACGAGCATTTGTTTTCGTTATGTAATCACTTTTTGTGGACTTCGAGGATAGTCGTAGGGTTTCCCTGGATACTCGGTGATACGATCATTGCCTCGTGAGAGAGAAGCGATCACGGATCGGCGCACACAATTGCGTGGAGACGAGGACGGGAGGCAAGGCTGACGCGCGACCACAGGGAAGAACGAATCGATCGATCGCACCTTAATTAGCACGGCGATTACACGGCCTGCTTGATCGATTCACCACATTCGGTCTCTGTTTCCCTGGGTGGGGCTGCCTCGTCTGTTTCGTGCATATGCTCGTTAAAATTGTCATCCCTCTTCTATCGTTTCCAACGATAATACCAACGTTCGACCCTCTGATGCGGAATATATCCATCGACTATGCCAAAGGTGAAACGTTCTCCCGGTCGTACGGAATTATTTATACGTCCCTCGTAATTATTTATCCCCCTCGTATATTTAACTTTGTATTTAGGGAACTATTTTTGCCAACGTTTAACGTTTTGCTCTTTTACGACGAATTGGCCTCGCTGGTTGGCTCGAATTGTTTTCGTCACGTCTCGAACTGTTCGAGGTGAATTCGTAAGGACGCTTATAGGTCGAGGAATAGGAGAGTTGGTGGATTATCGACGAATCTCACTGGGGGGTTCAGTGACCCTGGAGAAACTTCACGGACGGAATTATTGCTAGCGTGGCTGGCGGAGCTGCGTGGAATTATAACCGTGCACGGTCGTGTCAGCGGATCGATGACGAAGGTGGGGCCAAACCCCAAAAACGTCGCTTCGACAGCTGGAACGAAAAAAAGAGGGTTGTTCGATTCACATTTGTCAATCGCGTAGCCGCGAATGATTCACGATCTACGTACCTTCGTAGTTTTAATCTTTCACACGAGAGGATAGTAAATTTCCCGTGCTGAAAGCTGCACGTTCGCGTTTGCTGCACGTTTTCTTCTTTGAAAATGTTCGAGAAGTGCCAGTTTCGACCTGAGTCGAAATTATGAGATTGTTTGTCGAAATTGTATATATGAACGATTGAGAGAAGACTCCCGATATATCCACGAGGGCAAATTTCCCTCTCGGTTCGACGGTCAGAATATTGTTTCACCGTTCGTTGTCGCTAAGGCGATCAGAGGCCGGCAAACTTTCATAATTCCAACGGTAATGCGGTGACAACTTCCTGTCGCACCGTGTGGCCGGTTTTAAAGCCACCGAGCATAATGGAACACGTTCGCATATGCGTCCACTACGTGTCCCTATTTTTTCTCTCTCTCTTTTTTTCTGCATACCGTTTCGCATCTGTTGCAAGTCCCGTGCCCCGGTCCCAGTTTTCGTTCCCCTTTTTCTCATGCAGCTAAACAATAGCGACTTGCAACACTCCCTCCTTCTCTATCTTTCGTTAACGTTAAGTCCGGTCATGTACGTAATATGCAAAGAACCTGGTCAATCGTTCGTGCCTAACGAAAGCAGGAAGTCAATCGAAAAGATCGTTTCTTTGATTCTCAAGATTAAAGGGGTACGAGGAGTGATTCTCGACAGCGATTAGAATGAAAAGGTCGGTGAAGTTCTGGTCTTATAAAATTCGACGTAAGGCACAGAAATTGCAGAAGGAAAATCTTTTAGGTATTTCTAATTAGATCGGGAAATCGGAGTTACATCGATGATCAACTTGTCAACGCGTGACGAAAGATTGAAACGTGCTTTCCCGTGTATTTCCATTGCCTATATATTTATAACATTTGTACGTAGATGTATTTCTAATTTCAGTTGGAGCACCAATTACTCTTGCTTTTCGAGCATTAACGTAACTCGAATTCCTCCGAGTCGATTCGGTTTCCAATTGACTGCAAAGTGCACTGGCCTCTTGGACTTTTATAGAAAGAACGTCGAGCAATTAGAAATTCTTCGCGTGCCACGCTGTCAAGTTTCGATCGCGTGATAATTTTAAAGATGATTTCGAGGCGGGGATACGTTCGCGCAGATTTCGTTTCGTCCAGGAAGTTCCCGCAAGATAGTTCGATCCGTTTCGCGCGATGACGTAATATAACGGAAATGAAATTCTGAAAACACGAACCCGCGCGGTTATTGGCACGACCGCCAAGTGTTGCTCGGGTCTTGCTTGTTTCGTCAGCGCCGCATAATTTTGGCCCACTGTCATTTTCGAGACTGGCCTCTCACGATCTTCGCGAGATAAAGCCAGGGTAAGGTCAGGGATTCTTCTTCGGCGCTCTCCCGCTCGTTCGCGCGAATTTGAGAAATTGTTCGTGGCAGAAGGAACGACCACAATATCAGAAATAAGTAAATCTTTAAATAGATCGAGCAGAAGGCGTATATATAAGAAATGACGATCGATGAATCGAAGGAAAGCTATTGGAGTGATATAATCAGGCAGAAGGTTTCACGAGTACTTTATCCTTGAGATTCTTCATTTCGTTCACCTGTGACAAGTTGCGGCGTTTTTTTTTTTCTTTTTTTGGAACGCAAATTTTTTTCGTCGGTTCTCTTTTCGAAAGATTCAATTTCATGGTCTCTGGCAAATAGCCATCAGTGAGTTTCGACGATGTAATTCATGGTTTCGAGTTCACTACCGATCGAGTGCGGCCTCGGGTAAGGGGTAAAAGGACTCTTGTATCGACGCGATAGCGTACCGAGACGACGGGGGTCAAAAACCGTGAAGGGGTGGTCATGATCTGATGCAAGGGGTGATGCAAGCAGCGAGAGGGAGGCTGCGGAGGGCGGTGTACCTTCTGCCTGGTAATGTCGGGGAGCCATGTTGCAAACATTTCCTAACGAACAAACCCCTGCAAACCCAGTATCTCGAGGGGATACTGAAACATTGTACGCAAACCGTCGCAACGTTGTCGACTCTCTTGTTAATGGGACGCGATTGAAACAACGGTGACAGGTGTTACTCTCGAGCCGTGCGGCGAAATAAACAGAAAAAATATCGTGAGATTGCGATCCGTTCGGTGGCAAACCGTGCCCAAAGTTCGAAGCTTTTTAACATTGAGTTACAATGGAATTACGTGGAAATTCGAAATTTGTCAAAACTCGAAGAGGGGGGAGAGGGGGGATAAGGGGATGTTGAGTGGGATCAGGGGAGTTAGTTCGATCGACGATGGGAGGTCACAGTTTATTTAAGAACGCGCATACGTCTCTTATTAGTTCGATCGGCAACCCCTCGCAGCGTACGCGCTACGTCGGTAGGAGGAGATACACGTAATACAACGAGGGGTTTGCAGTGGGTTGGTGACGAGCTTAGCCGCGAGGGTGCGCGATCGCGAACGAGCCAGCCCGAACACGGCCGAACGAGCTCGCTGAGCTGTGCAAGCCGCTTGAACGCGACTGCTGCGTCCAGAGTTTAGGCAGCCTCCGCCCGTGTTGTATCGTTATTTCCGTTTCCTTAGTATAGTGTTTAACGCTTTAATTTCTAGTCTCGCGTGACCCTCTACATCATACACTCACACATACACACACGCACGCACACGCACACACATACACACGCATACACATACGTATACAGCGTATATTCTATTCTTTACACGTACGTGCACACACACTTACGTTTACACACCGTATAATCCCTTGTTTTCTTTTTTACGATCGGCAAATACGAAAATTTGGTGGATCTTGTTACCCGACGAACGCGACTAATTTTCGGCACGGCCGCTCGTGTACGTGTATACTTACGTACGTACGTGTTTCGTCAAAGTGAAAACCGAGGGACCGTCGACCAGGAACCAAGCATAAATGCCGATTTACGAGCGCTCGCGTCGTACTTTTCTTTCATTGATTTCCCCTTCTGTTCCGGGCGGCGGTGCGAGAGCGTGATAGTAAGTGCACGTAAAGAGAGAGAGAGAGAGAGAGAGAGAGAGAGAGAGAGAGAGAGAGAGAATCAGAGAGGAGACCAAAGACCGGCGCGATACACACCACGGTCAGCACCACGAGAGTAGCCGCGTAGCCACGGGCCAGTTGCACGTTGCTCGGTTTCGCGTGCGATCGAAAAGAGAGAGCTTTCGGAAGAGAGAAACGGGAAAAGCGAAATACGTCGAGGGTGGGAGAGTGCGGAGAGTTCTGGATAAGAAAGGAAAGTGTTCTCTGTGTCTTCTGTGTGCATGTGTGTCGTGTGCTGTCGCGTGCATCGATAAAAAGCATCGGTGGATCTCCTGAGAGAAGTTCGCGAGGAAAGGTAAGCTTCGGGTCAAGGTCCTGCTTTCTTCCTCCGATTTTCCCCGATTTCTTCCAATTTCTATTTAATCTCGAGCATCTCTCGTCGAGAGATATACCGATAGCCGGATGCTGCGTGTAGAGCAGCTTGTCCCTTCCCCGCTAGGAGTTTCGGAGCACGTGCCTAGCGAGTTTCGTGGCACATTCTCATTCTCACCCTTTGCTTTCTGCGTGCTTTCGTCGTCCGTTCTTTCCCCACGCGAACCCTTCCTCGGCTCCACTCCCACCATCGTCCACACGATCGCCACTTGCCTTTACCCTTTTCCCCTCCGCTGCTACGTATTCCCTTAGGATAGCAGGGCGAAAGAGTTGCTGCGTTTCTGCGTGTGTCTCATGCGTGTGCGTGCGTGCGTGCGTGCGTGCGTGCGTGTGTGTTTTCTCGCGCGGAAAGGGGCGTACGCGAATGCGGGAGGGGATTCCCTTGGAATTGTACCGAGAGAGGAAGGGGTCTCGTGCGCACACCAGAGAAAGGAGAGAAAGAGGGAGAGACAGCTCCCGAACTCGCGAGCGAGCGAGCGAGCGAGCGAGAAAGGGCGAGAGAGGGGTGAACCAGCGAGGCAGAGACCGAGGAGTCGCGCTCGTATTGATCGGTCCCGGCCACGCGATTTTCACGATCCGTCGCCATGGCCACCTGGCCACCGGCCGAAGATCGTATCTGTCAAGTGTACGTGAAAATCGAACTTTAACTCCCCCCTCCCATCCTCCCCTTCCACCGAGGCTAGACTCACCTGCCGCGTTATCTTCGTTCGAAATTTGCACTACCTTTGAAGAAATCTCTGAATATTTCACCCTTGAGGAACAACCTTTATCGTCGAGTTCATCCTTCGATGCTTTCGTCGGTTCTGTTACGCGAATTATTTATAGTTTCGCAACATTGAACGACACAATCGTGATGCGGATCGATAGCTCCAATGTAGTAACAGTTTCAACAGAGTTTGATTTCCGGTTCCAGTTCTTTAGGCTAGGAATCGTTAAATTACTAATTATGTACTTCAGAATTTAATACTCCGCAAAGTTTATCTTGTTTTTCTCTCTCAAAATTAGATTCGATCTAGGAAACTCAGATTCTTCCAAGTTGAAATTGAAAAGGACAGGGAATACTTGAAAGGGATAAGACACAAGAATGTATCTGTCACGGAACGATTACGCGGGAGAGACGGTCGTAGACAAAGTTCGACTTCTGCGAGGCTCGAGGCCTGGCGAAAAGGGGGTGGCTTTCCGCATTGTGTTGCGGACAACCCCAGCGTACTGTGCGTATACGCGAATACGCAACCATGCATAACGTCCATTGTCGTTGGATAATGACGGTGGCGCAGGAGTCGCGTTTCGAAGTCACCGGCGAACGATACTTTTCCGATGCGTTCTTCTCGTCCGACAATGGGGTCTCTCGGCTTCCATTGTACCGTCCTAAAATATCGCGATGCCGAGCATCGGAGTAACAGAGACGGGGAGAACCGTGGATCGATAACTACGGAAGATGCGGGGCTACGATAACTGCTAACTCCGACATTTTCTCCGACTGCTGAGCGCGCTTGTTTTTCTCGCCTCGTTCATAAACACTATCAAGCCCACTGAACAATCTGTTGAAGAATACCGTCGTCACTTTCTTAAACAGGGTTCGTTCTGTAGATTACAGTGGACGTGAAAGTCTACGGATCATGTTCAAACACGGATCTTCCTTTTTTATTAAAAATTTTTTTTATTTACCATGTTAATCTCTTGCGCTGGAATGACGTGCCACGCACGTCGAGACAAACAAATAATAAATCTATTACTTTTCAATAATTTCTATCCAGTGATATCATATCGACGAGTTCAAAATGAAAGCGGCGAATTATTGTGTACGGTTTGATCACTCCTTATGGTCCGCAGTCAATTGCCAGCGCAAGTGGTTAAGGCCCATTGATGTACATTTTCTTCTCGTCTAAAGCTAATATCTAAAGTCTCGCAACATCGCTAGCTAGAGGAAGGTGTCGATTTAAAATTTCGTAGAATGTCCGAGTTAGGCTTCTCCCTTCGAGGATCCCGTTCCCTGTTCTGGTAATAGGAAATTCTTGTTGCTAGAAACCTTTGGAAAGTTCCCCGGGAAGTTCCCCGCCGCCGCAACAACACGAAAAGCTACAACGTTTTGAACGTGTTCGGAACAGAAAATTCGAATTAACAGCCGGTCGCCGTTCCAGTTTCTTTTTTTCCCCATGTCTCGCCGTTGGGCACGGCACGCTCGACGCATATAATAAAAGCTATTTATCGTGTGTAATAAAAGATATCTCATGAGAGAGAGAACGTGGTCAGTCCGACTGGGGTGACCACAGCCATGAGACACAGAGAGACACTCCCTGCGTGGGGTAACCCTAAGGACAGCTGATGACTACGTTAGACGACTGACAGAGACGGGAAGGGAAAGAGAGAATTAAAATGTACACCACCGGTAGCTCGTGCCGGGCCTGATATATGTGTCGTGGCAGCTGTGTGTATTCGCCTTAACCATGAACACCATGGGCACCCTACGGCCACCGCGTATAATTCCCCTTTCTCTCTTTCTCTTTTTCCTTCTCCTTTTATTTTGCTCGCTTTCCGTCCTTTTTGCTTGAGGCGTGTGTGCTACCACATACTGGGTGTCTTGATGAAAATTACTCGAGTCCTTTTTACGTGTGCGCGTTGGCACGAGAATTAACAGACAGTTATCGAGGTCCTTGAGCTAGAAAAAGTTACTACCGCATTAACGATTCTTTTCTTTTTTTTTTTCTTTCTTTTGTCATTTCTTACGTTAGGAAAAAGGAAATTTGAAAGGAACTTAATCGGGAGGGAAATTTGTAAAATTTTAAATGGGAATGGCACAAGTCCGATTGATATTGGACACCCTAAACGCATCGAGTACGGCGGTTTGGTTAGAAGGACGGTAGGGGAAGGCACGAGGGAGACGAGCCCTTTAAACCAGAATGGGGGGTCGTCGCCCCTTTAAATTATCCGCGTTTCTATTGGACCTTACCCTCGCCCCTACCGACCACCTTCGCCTGTTCTTTTTCCGCTGTGTTTTGAAAGTCATTGTCAGATTACGTCTGCATCCAGTTGCGTGAACGATGAATTTTCGTAAGTTGCCCGTAACCGTGTCGCCGCGCCGTGTCTTTTCCAGCTGCTTTTAATTTAATCCAAAAACGAGCACGATAAGATCCTCGCTGTTATTATGTCTAAAGAAAAGGAGAAAAAAAGAAAGAAAAAAAGAAACTTTTCTAAACACTTAAAAAATCCTCGGACGTAAACGAATCGATTTCGATGATTGTGTTTATAATTCGTATCAAGAAACATTTATAATGTTTTGTTTTCGTTGGTGATAATGTTTTTGTTTGCCATGTAAATAGTTGTAAATGAGCAAAAACCGATTCCCTCTTCGAACTTGGGTTCTCAGTACCGTAAGAAGCTTGTGCATCGTGTACAGCGTGTTGATTAACAGGCGTTTTTACGTCCTTCAAAATTCCGACGACAGCCCGTGTTTATACTTGTCTGTTTCTTCCTGTGTTCTTCCTCGTCGATCGAACGATCGTTTCGATAACCTAACTTCGGCGTGTTCTAGCGAGATGTTCGTATTGTTGTCCGAACAGTTATTTCACTTAAAAAAAAAGGAACAAAAAAAAAAGAAAAAAGAAGAAGGAAAGAACATGCCAAAATTTAAAGTCACGAATCGTCGATATCGAAGTCAGGAATTTATTTTATTTTTACAATGTTTTGAATGGTTGAGCATCCCTGTCTCTTGAGTAACACACTTGTTTCCTTTTGCGATAAATAAACAACAAGGTGATCGGTTACACCATAAAAAGAGGTGTATCTTAGAATGTATCGTTGGACGATTGACAATTGTCGATGCTGATCCAAGAAAATACAGAGAGACGGAGAACGAAATTATTTTCGCAAGATAGTGGCTAAAAAGAAAAATCGTTCGCCTATCCGTTACGCGCGACGATAAAAGTGTTCTTTTCTTGTTTCAGATTTCGTACGTAGTTAGAGAGGACTCGGTAGAAGAGTGCAATGATGGCGAACGGAATGGACACAGTCGTGCAACAAAATGGTGGAGCCACCCTCGGGCAGGCCTCGCAAGAAGAATCCAAGACGAATCTCATTGTAAATTATTTGCCACAAAGCATGACACAGGATGAGATTCGATCCCTCTTCTCGAGCATAGGCGAGGTGGAAAGCTGCAAGTTGATTCGCGATAAACTCACCGGTAAGTTAAACTTTAACTCTCTGCGTATTCGTTATCGCGTTTGAAACAAAACGAACATTACCGGGAAGTATAAAAAGTTGCTCGAGTTTGATTGATGGCACGTTGTTGTGACAATTTTCACGGGAACCCATTATCACGGCATAGTATAATACGAACGATCGCCGACAACGACTAAAGAACGCAAGAATCTACGTCTTTCTACACTGTTCGTTTGTTTATCGATATCCAGACGTTATCGGGAAACGATGTTTAGTCTTGGTTGAGTCGTCATCTATCCTGCGCCTGTTTATTTTGTACTAGTCTCATTCGAAAACCTTTGTAATTTATGGTGTCATCAGAGCCACGTGTTAAACAATGGAAATTTCGCAATTTAAAAAAAGTCACGTATCGTTGATTTATTAATAAATTTTATCGCAATGTCAAACACACTTGTGTAAAATCACTTTGATACAATATTTTCTTGTAATACCAAACGATCAGTCGAGGTTTCGCTTTTCTTCCTCCAACAGTCGTATCGAGAAGAAGAGAACGATCACACCACACAGTCGAGTTTTTAATGAATTTTTAGATTTTTCCGTAGCCCGGGAAAGTTCGCGAATAAAGGAACTATTGCGCAATATCCTGTTTCCGTTTATCTTCGCCGACGAATATTTCCCCTGCACCGACTGACCGTGCACGTTCGAGTGCGCGTAATCCAGCGTAATTTCGCCAGCCGTACTCGCGTCTCTGAATTCCGTGCGTTAGTGGAGAGCACGTGCGTGGACGTCGCGACGCTATTTCGAGCGTCGGAGTAGCGGGGGCGTTGTTCGGTTTGAGTCTCCGCCGCTTTATATTCGACCTCGCCGCGATCTCTCAGGGCCGTATTACGCCGTCTGCGTTTCCTGTTTTTCAAAAAACACCCGTCTCGCTCTGTCACATAGCCTTTTCCACCACTCAATGAACGAACACACGCTCGGCCACATTTGCTGCTCGCGAACTCTGCGTTCCTTCGGATCTCACGCGTCTCCGTAGTTCTTTTAGTGATCTCACAAGAAGTTTACGCGAGTTCGGTCTTTTCTCTCTGTCTTTCTTTCTTTTTTTTGTTTTTTTTGTTTTAAGTTTAACGTGTTGGCACTTTTCCTATGTTACAGGTCAGAGTTTAGGTTACGGTTTTGTTAACTATCACCGGCCTGAGGATGCTGAGAAGGCGATAAACACGCTCAACGGTCTTCGTCTGCAAAACAAAACGATCAAGGTTCGTTGTTTCTAAATATTGCTGGACGTGTCGAGTTGCCAATTTGTTAGGATTTCTTCGGATTGGCATTTGATCGTTTAGCCCACGCGGAAGATTCCAGTTGAAAATTCTCAATGATTTCAACTAGCTATTTATAAACAATATATACTTTCCTAATCCGAGTCCTGAAATGAAGTCTTTTTATTAACGTATTTAACGTAGTTTCGCCATAGATATATTAACTACAGTTCAGAAATCTAATCTGTAATAGCGTTTTCCTGCTGTGTCTCCTCGTGTGAAGTTGCAATTTGGAATCGTTCCGTCAAACCTAAGTTTTGATACTATTGAGTTAGATTATACATGATATTAGACAGTATTGCGATGGAAATAGGCTGGCGTGAATTCAAAGACATTATCGCATCTGCTATTTATTAACTCTACGAAAACAGTCAAAATTGTTCCCGTTCGCATACCATGTAGATGATGTTAAACCACTCGAAAAAGAAAATCAACTATCTATCCTATCTTCCTGCGTGAGTCAGTTAGAATGCTCAGCTACACGCCAGAGTTTTCTAATTTCAACTTATCTCACTATTTTATCGATCGGTATTAATCCAAATGCAATTAACGAGCGTGCATCTTGGCAGGTATCGTACGCGAGACCGAGCAGCGAGGCGATCAAAGGCGCAAATCTGTACGTGAGCGGTTTGCCGAAGAACATGACGCAACAAGACCTGGAAAATTTGTTCAGCCCATATGGCAGAATCATCACGTCGCGGATACTTTGCGACAACATCACCGGTAAGTTGTTAATTAACCGATTGAATTGACGAGGATCGTATCGGCCAGTAGAATGTCATGAGCCCTGTGGAAGGCCATGGAATACGGGAATTTTAGGGGAAAATGCCGTACCCTTCACTTTGCTCGAAGAGTAAAGTAGATTGGAACCGCGCGGGTCATACTCCTTGTGCCCGTTCGTAGAAGATTTCGTTAGGAGGCTTGGCGAACAATTTGATGAGGAATTACAAAGTGTAGGCCATGGGGTTCTAGTCGTATTGTGGGGTGGATCGGTGCGCCTGCAATCAGAGCGAGAACGAACACGATCATGGTGAACGAGTGACGAGTAATGATACTTATGTTTTAAACAGCGTACGAAAACGCTGTAACACACTTTTCGTTGGTCGATGTCGTCTCGGAGCTGCGTGATCTCGTTTACGCATCTTTCATTCCGAATCTATTTAACGATTGCTAATTTTTTCCTTTTTTTTTCTCTCGTCCTTTTTTTCTTTTGTTTTTTCTTTTTTCTTTTTTGTTTAGTTATGTACTTTTATCTTCGTTGTAGATACTTTCTAATCGTACAGAGGACACTTTGTATTCGGGATCATTCGAGAGGACACACGATCGCAAATTTTCGTTTTTGATGATTCCATACTTTTTTTTTATCTTTTTTTTCCGCTCGTTATTGTTATTTACGTTCTCAGCTTACCTTTTTGTTAGCAGTGCATTCTATTTGCATCCCCAGTTTCACGCACAAGCCTCATGGCCTAACCAACCCTGTACCGTTACATTATTTCTTTTGTGTCCATATTGGCATTTTCCGTTGTTAATTCCTCCGAATTGTTATTTTTCTTTTCGATACATATTTTTCTTATTTCTTTTTTACCATCGTTCACACGATTGACGCGTTATTTATTTCTTTTTTTTTTTCTTGTAATTCCTTCTTTTAGTTTTTTTTTCTTTTTTTTTCTTTTTTT